CCAGCCCTGCCCAAGGGGGCCCGCCCCCGTCAGGACGTGCCTCCTGGCCCTGCAGGTCAGCTACGGTGCCAGCACGGACCGGCTGAGCGACCGGGAGGCCTTCCCGTCTTTCTTCCGCACGGTGCCCAGCGACCGGGTGCAGGCGACAGCGGTGGCGGAGCTGCTGCACAGGCTCCGGTGGAACTGGGTGGCCGCCGTGGGCAGCGACGACGAGTATGGCCGGCAGGGCCTGAGCCTCTTCTCCAGCCTGGCCAACGCGCGGGGCATCTGCATCGCCCACGAGGGTCTGGTGCCGCTGCCTGGCGCCCACGGCCTGAGGCTGGGCTCCGTGCAGGGCCTGCTGCACCAGGTGAACCAGAGCAGCGTGCAGGTGGTGGTCCTCTTTTCCTCCGCCTGGGCCGCCCGTGCCCTCTTTAGCTACAGCATCCGCAGCAGGCTCTCGCCCAAGGTGTGGGTGGCCAGCGAGGCCTGGCTGACCTCGGACCTGGTCACAACACTGCCCGGCATGGCCCAGGTGGGCACCGTGCTGGGCTTCCTGCAGCAGGGGGCCCCGATGCCCGACTTCCCGTCCTATGTGCGGACCTGCCTGGCCCTGGCCGCTGACCCCGCCTTCTGTGCCTCACTGGACTCAGAGCAGCCCGGCCTGGAGGAGCAGGTGGTGGGGCCACGCTGCCCCCAGTGCGACCACATCTCGCTGGAGAACGTGTCCTCCGGCCTGCTGCACCACCAGACCTTCGCGGCCTACGCGGCCGTGTACAGCGTGGCCCAGGCCCTGCACAACACGCTGCTCTGCAATGCCTCAGGCTGCCCCACACAAGCACCCGTGCGGCCCTGGCAGGTGAGGACGTGGGAGCTGTGCCATCCTCGCGGGTGTCCAACAAGAAGGGACAGCGGCGGGGGGTCTGGGCTGCAGGTGGCTGGCCCAGTCCCGCCCACTGCTCCCCCTGCCCCCAGCTCCTGGAGAGCATGTACAACCTGAGCTTCCGGGTGCGCGGCTGGCCTCTGCGGTTTGACACCAGCGGGAACGTGGACATGAGCTACGACCTGAAACTGTGGGTGTGGCAGAACCAGACGCCTAAGCTGCACACTGTGGGTGGCTTCAATGGCCGCCTGACGCTGCAGATGTCCCAGATGCGCTGGCACACTCCAAGAAACATGGTGAGTGCCAGGCTGTGTCTCTAGCCACACGGAATCTCTGGAGCAAGGTCTGCCCTACCTGGGG